TTGCCTGGGGCTTCCCTGAACAATGACGAGGAAGTGGAGCTGAAGTCTGCCCCAGGGATTTTTTATACACTAGTAACGGCTTGTCCTAATCTCAGTTCACGTAGCTATTGGTTGGGGCTGGGGAGGGAGCTGGGCTGCACAAGGAAAGATAGCAATTTTGGATGCTGTCCAAGGGGAAAAGGGGCCCTTTCCCCCCTCAGCCTTTGAGTGGACAAGCATCATCTCGCATCCATGCACTTGTATTCGCAGCTCCGAGCGCAGGTGGAGCTGCCTGCACAGCTGTGGGTTTCCAGTACGGCAGAGGCAGCTGGAGGCTGAACACGCTGTGCAGACCCAAGATGACAGGCGTTGACATTCAAAGAGTTTGCAATCTTCGCCTTGACCATCTTTTCAGAGTCATAACGGTGTCTTGCTGCCCTGCACTACTGGGACTCAGAGGAGCTGTGGCTGCCCCTGGCTCCCTGGCAGTGGTCAAGGCCAGGTTGGATGGGGCTTTGGGCAACCTGGGCTAGTGGAGGGTGTCCCTGCCCATGGCAGGGGGGGCACTGGTTGGGCTGGGAGGTCCCTGCCCACCCAAACCCTTTGATGGTGATGATGATTCTATGATGATTCATCCTGAACAACTCTAGGCATCATCCAGCCCAGCCTTAAAGGATCAGAGTTTGTTGGAACCAAGGACTGAATGATCACTCCCAAATCCAGACCCCATACTTTAAATGCAAGAGCCTCCTTTCTTGTCTGTCCTTCAGAGTTGTTGTCCGTCGTTGTTCTCCATCATTGTTGTCCATGCTGTTCTAAGCTCTCCTATTGCCCATCCCTAGTGCAATTCCCTGTCATCAGAGAACGTGGGTCCATCTCGAAGGCACAACCCTGAGTTACGAGTCTCAAGAGCATGGTGTAACCCCTAGCCTTAGTCCTGTGAGGAGAACAATCCAGACATGTCACCCATGTGGACAGTCAGTCCCACCTGGTGCCAACGGCAGTCTAGGACCAGGCTGTACTGTGCAAAACCAGTTTGATGTTAATTTTATCTGCTGGCCCTCCAGGAAGAGGACAACACAGCATTCATCTTATTTTAGATGTCTGAATGCCTCGTTAATGTATGTGGCTGATGACTGTCCCTTAGTCTAATAATTGGCTGGCTTTGGGGCACAGTTCTGAGCCTGCCCGAATCAGAAATGGGCTTTACACCAAATAAAAAGCAGAACCACACAGGGAACCATGCTTATTTTTTCACACTGCTAGCAGAAATATGCAACAAAACCTTGTTTACATGGCAAAAGTTTGATGGTTTTGCTATATCAGGCACTAGCACTGACAAACTCATGAGTGCAGACACTGCTTATAGCAGAAAAAAGAATTCTTTTAATATATAGCATACCTCATACCTGCCTGAAAATAAGCCATCCTGGCAAAGCAGCGTTCCAACTATCAGTAGAGCTGTCTTGATCAGATTGCCTGTTCACATAAAATAATTCAGCCCTAAGAAACAGCCTTGCAGGGATTGTCTCTGACTACATGCAGGATGAAGTCTGCCCTCTTGTCTCCCACTTGGCGGCCGTCTTTACAAATCTGAAGAGCACTATCTTGTCTCTTATCTGCCTGCTCAAATAAAACTGTCAATAAGTTCTTCCAGCCTTACCTCTGGTCCATACCATTACTCCCTTCAGTTACTATATTTTCGGAAGTTGTGGCTTTTTTCCACCCTCCTACTTGACAGGGCATCTCGATCGAAGGTGTTTTAAGTACAATTTAAAATCACATCCTTTATGGCTTGGGAGTAGAGGTCTGGCTGGCAATTTTTGGATGCTCAGGGCTCCCAGTACAGGGGTCCTCTGTTGAGGGGACTGTTTAGCGGCACAGGGTGCGAGGGGAAGACTTCATCACAACATGCCAAGTGGAGGCAATTTCTGTAGCTTTTTTCCAGTTCACAGAGTCAAAGGGAGATTCCACTGAATCCCAGAACCCCAGAGTGGTTTGGGTGG